AATAGCCCTTCTGTGATTATAGCTTTTTCAAATCAAGCTGGATGGCAAATGAGTGATGAGGATTTCAGTACACCTCCCACTTATGGCCAGCTGTCTCTAGGACCAGCAAGAGTACAGGAAGAGATGAAGATGAGAGAGAGGGAGGGGAGAAAACAACACTTATCCTGAGCCATTGGGTCTGGAGGGTTAATCCTTGTGCTTCCCCATCAGTTGTGCTTTTACCATGTGACGTCGGTCAGCCACCATTGGCTCAAGCCGGAATGAGACACATGGGAGACGAGCAAGGGGGAGAAGGGGGCCTAGGTGGCATCTGTCAATTCGGTTATGTAAAGATGACTGGTAATACACTCATATCATTTCTGCCTCTAGCTTTGTAATCATGTGTGGGGGGTGGGGTTGGGGGCTTGCCCTTGTTCTGCATTTATGGATGTACATATATGGATAACCGTGCTGAGCTGGCATACACTCATATTCAATAAGACATTATCATGCTCTGATCATGAGCTAGGCAGATATTATCATCTACGCTGACCACGTGATGTTTTAAACCCTGCTGAGCCATCTCTTTTTCTCACTGCCATTGATTTACACATCAAAGTTCACCTGCTGTCATCAGGTGGCCAGAAACACTTAGAAATAAGCTCTGAGGCCATGGTATTTCTTTCTTGGCAGGACTTTATAACCTGTCTTCCGATTTTTGCCCTGGCTGACTTGCAGGACAAAGGTCAGCTGGTCATCACTGCTGCTAATCTGAGGCAAACCTCTTTACAGAGTTAAAAATAGATCCACCAGGACTTCATATCATGAGTGCAGGGTCATTAGCTCAACTTAGAAAACCCAGTGGAGAAGAAAGAAAGGGGGAAAAAAGGCCTTCTAGAGTCTGCCAAACAGAGGGTAAAATTATCTCCAGTGGAAATGTCAACATTCAATCACTTGACCCACACTGTAAAGACATCCAGATAACCTGTCACCTTTTATTAATAAGAACTCCCATCCAGAAAATAGCACCTGACCTTCCCAACTGTTTCAAATTGATTTAGAAGCTGACCCCCCTCAGGTGCTCATCCGTTTCTGTCGACATTCAACGCTGTGTTATTTTTCTTTGAGTGTAAAAAAAACAGACCACTCACCAGTTGACCAGCATGGCAGCGTTGTTCTCTGCTAAGAATGGGAGTTCTCCATAAACACTCCAAAAGCTTAGCAGTAAAATCCACCACAGTCGCATGTTTGCTGCTCTCAGAAGAGTCCCACCCTGCAGGGCACATCCAAGGTGGAATATCTGAAATGGGGCACTGCCAGTTGTGCTTTCTTCCCGGTCATTGAAATAAATGGCCGAGTGAGACGAAGGGGATGCGACGAACCCCTCGTGACGAGGACATCTTTGACCCCAGGGCCCTCACGACATTCAAACTTTTCCTTGACTACCAAGGCTCAGCAGCTTATCATCGTCCTCTTCATCTGATCCACTTGATCTCTCCCCTCTGATCCTGACTAGATTTTGCACTTTTGCTCTGCTTTTACCCCCTTTTTTGTTCCCTCACTCTCTCTCTGCAAGCCGTGAAAGAGTATATCCTAAACATGGATGACCTGGCCTGACAGAATGGATGGAACTATTGAAAGTGCGACAGACAGAAGAGTGTGTGTGTGTGTGTGTGTGTGTGTGTATGTGAGAGAGAGAGAGAGAGAGAGAAGCCTGCAGGATGCAGATTGTGACGAGGGATTAGTGGGACACAAAAATCCGATTTTGCCAGGAGAAAGCAGCAGTCATCAGTGGATTTTCTATAGTTTATCAGACTGTGTGGCTCAAAAATATTTTTTTAATGCTTCAAATTCAATCTTCACTTGGTTAACAGGATATATAATGTTTTTTTCACTCTGTATTCTCTTTTCTATTCCAGTTAATGATTGACTTCATGTTCCAGTGCACAGTGTGACAGCTCTTAAACACACCATATATGTCACTTTTGTTTAGATGATTCAATCTGTTCCATTCTGACGATTTATGCAGTTTTTATTTCTTCAAAGTCATTTAAGTTTTACTCTTTCACTAAAACAACATCAAATCATCTTTGTGGTCAGACATTACAGTAACTGTCCACTATTTGGTGCTAATGAGACCACAAACTAGGAAGTCAAAGTGTTTCCCTTTACTCTGAAAGAATAGTGACAGTACTGTTGGAAAATTCCATAATCACATCACTTCACATTTGTCTTGATTTGTCTCATATTATTATGTCTCTGTCTTCCCTTGACTTGTTTCTCACCACCTCTCTCTCTCTCTCGGTCTCTCTCTCTCTTTTTCTCATTTTCTCTTTAAACCTCTCAACTGGTTTGCACTTATCCCACAAGAGTTTAATCACACTCTATCCCTTCCTCTCTTAGTCCCTTTGTTTCTTCTCTTACTTATTTTTCCATCACTGTTTCTATTCTCATCCTTTCTCTCATTTCATTCTTCTGTTTCATTGTTCCCCCTGCAGGTCAATACACAGTCATGATGGCCCATTTCTACCTGAAGAGGAAGATCGGTTACTTTGTGATTCAGACCTACATGCCCTGCTTCATGACTGTTATTCTGTCCCAAGTCTCATTCTGGCTCAACCGTGAATCTGTCCCTGCCAGGACTGTCTTTGGTTAGTGCATTCCAATTCACAAAAAAACTAATTCTGTATGATTTATAAGCTTTTTTCCTCATGGGGACCTCAATTTAGGTCCCCACGGTGACACAAGTCCCCATGAGTCAGTGTGTATTCACACACACACACACACACACACACACACCCACACACACACACACACACACACACACAAATAAATAGCTGTTTAAATCTACGTGAATGGGTTACCACCTCATGAATGCTGTCATTAACATTTTTTTTTTAGTTTTAATTTTTGTAACCTTATTACTTCAGTGATTTTGTTAACAATACTGTAGCAACATTGTTTAGCATGGCCCTGTTAGCTCCTGCTGGTTAATGTCATAACTATACCATTCAGAGTTTTATTTATATAATTTTATAATATTTATTATTATTACTTTGAATTAGCATTTATTTTTATATTTTTATATTTTCAATTTTGATTTTATTTTTTTTGTATTTAGTATTTTTTTTTATCTATATAGATTTAATTTTGTTTCAGTTTTCATAATTTTACTACTACAACTTTATTTCAGTTAGTTGGTGTTGGCAAGGGAACATTTCTAATTCTCATTTAAGTTTTTTTAATGAAAGTATTTTATCTAATATTTGTATTTTATTATATTTCAGATTTATTAAAATTACCAAAAACAATTTCAGTAGTTTTAGTTAGGATTAACAACACTGTTCAGCATGGCTCCATTAGCCCCTTCTGGTTAATGCCATAACTATATCATGCTAATGCTAATAGCATTCTCCAGTTATTATAGACTGCTTAGACAAAAAAAAAACCTTGCTTGCACCTTTAAAAACTCATCAGCATCAGATATTTACTCCTCCTGTTCTGATTGCATGCAGAGGATTTTATATAACTATATTCTGTTTTCACTCACCTAGCATGTATGGATTCTTATCTGTTGCTCCTTTCGGTCTGTCACTTAATGTTTTGCTTTGTACATCGATAATTCTCATCAAAATGGAAATCAGAATTGACTGATGCAATCAGAAGGAATTAAGAGCTAATCCACTCAGATGACTGTTTTTGAATTCACACCGCCATTCCTATTCAGTTCTGGGGCCTTGCATTGTATCTTGGCAATAATCAGCAAAGTGAGCAGACAGTCCACAAGGAATATGAGCCCACGCAAACAACATCTCTATGACTGGCCAACAAAGGCTACATCAAAACATAATGCTTTCTCACACACATAAATATACAAATATCCATGAACGGAGGCTCAAAGACTCACTTGCTGATATCACACATGTGACAGTGTTTTATTTGCATAGCCCGAGGCTGAGAAATCCCGGAGCCGTATGCCTAAGGGATTGTAGTACCATACTTATTTATGTCTAAAAGTCTCTGTGACCGCTGCCTGGGGCAATCTGACCTCCCTCTGACAGGGACAGCACACCTCCACTCCTCAGATGCTTATCGAGAACTATTCTCAGAGGCTTTGCATAAAGAATTATAACGATACTGTCATTCTAAGGGCATGTTAGATATATATATATATATATATATATATATATAAACAGTTATATCTGAACTGCAGTGCTGCTGTGTTTGACCCTTCATTGCTACCTTCTATAAAGTTTTTTCTTTGATAGAAAGTAGACTGCATTTCTGGGAATGAAAGGATCTTAATGTCATTATTCCCATCTGGTATGCTTTGTTTTGTTGTTAAGATGAGTTTATGATTCATGAACCAATATTTTATTCATGCAAAGCATTTTAAATATTAAAATAATTATTTTGGATGAAAGACGAATTTCCCTGCTCACTGGTAGCAGCATTCACAAAATGACTGTGCTGCTACTGAACATTTTTTGATGGATTGTTGTGATTGTTTTTGGCACATAAATCGTTTTATTTTATAAGCATTATACAGTATGCCTGTACATTTTGCAGATGAAATTATGGTGTAACTCTTATACGTTTTAAAGAAATGTATTTTTTAATTAGGCGTGTTGTTTGATTTATGGTGTCTTAAGAAATTAAGATAAGAAAAGGTATCTTTCGCTCACGAGGCTGCATTTATTTGATCAAAAATAAAAAATGTGACAACAGTAAGTATTATTATAATTTAAAATAACTGTTTCATTTTAACATACTGTATATTAAAAAGTCATTTATTCTTGTGATGGCAAAGCTGAATTTTCAACAGCTATTACTTCAGTCTTCAGTGTCACATAATCCTTCAGAAATAATTTATAATATGCTGATTTGGTGCTCAATTATTATCTTTTTTTTTAAATTTGTGCTCAGTTATTAATAATGGTTCTTATCATCAGTGTTGTTTTTGCTGCTTTACATTTTTGTGGAAACCGTGATAAATTTTTTTAAGGATTGTTTGATGAATAGAAAGTTCAAAAGAACAGCATTTATTCAAAATAGAAAACTTTTGTAACATTATAAATGTCTTAACTGTCACGTTATAAAAGTAAATTAAATGTGTTTATGCTGAATAAACGTATTTACTGGAGTAATTGCTGCTGAAAATTCAGCTTTGCCATCACATGAATAGGTTAAAATAGAAAGTTATTTTAAACTGTAAAAATATTTCACAATATTACAGTTTTTACTGTATTTCTGATCAAATAAATGCAGCCTTGTTGAGCACAAGAGACTTTGTTATTAAAAACTCTGAATCATTCCAAACTTTTGACCGGTAGTGTATTTATTTATTTATTTATTTTGCTTTAGAGATCTTATAATATTCTAAATATCTATGTGTTTGATCCTCCACAGGTGTGACCACAGTGTTGACCATGACCACCCTCAGCATCAGCGCCCGCAACTCTCTTCCTAAAGTAGCATATGCCACTGCAATGGATTGGTTCATCGCTGTTTGCTATGCCTTTGTGTTCTCTGCGCTTATCGAGTTTGCCACAGTCAACTACTTCACCAAACGCAGCTGGGCATGGGATGGAAAGAAGGCCTTGGAGGCTCAGCAGCCTAAAGTAACTTTAGTATGTTTTCATGCGTTTGTGCATATGTGATGTTCAACTCTTAGAAAACCTCAGAAAGAGGCTTTGTTGAGTGAAGTTGCATAACATGACAGTTCTGTTTGACGCGAAGGTTACAATACATTGCGGTTATATAATATGCTTTTTCTAATTGTTTTGAGACACCGGAACAGCTTGAGAGTGCTCAGTCACAACATTTCAGATGGTGACACTAACTCAAATGTCAACTGCTTTAGATTAGATGAGCTGTATTTGTGTTAGCTGCTGATGGATGTCACATTTTGAAATTCTACAGGGTGAATATTTAGCGTTTACCCAGAATGCCCTTCAGACCAGCCACTTCATTGAGATTTCTGAGAGCTGCTTGGTTGATGAACATGTAAATGCCAGGTTTCTGCTTATGCAAGATCCATTTTCACCCAGGTGGTAATTTTTCATTCGCAGTGGACAAACAGAATTCAAAGAGCCGTCAATGTCACTGTGGTGAGTTTGTTAGTAAAGACTCTACAGTCAAGACCTCTGAAGGTCAGATCTGGACCTCCAGCACAGCTTTCTTAAATGTCACCCTTTTTTTATCAAACACCAACTTATTCCACCTCTCCTGTTAAGTAGTCTTTCTAAAACCTTGAGCTCATGCTGTGGGGTCCTTCTTTAAAAAAAGAGCAGGAAGTGACGTATACAAAATACTGTTCAATATTGGGGTTGGTACAATTTTTTTTATGTTTTTGAATGACGTCTCTTTTGTTCACCAAGAAAAATACAGTAAAAACAGTAATACTGTGAAAAATTATTACAATTCTATATGAATATACTTTAAAATGTAATTGATTCCAGTCTTCAGTGTTGTGATCTTTTAGAAATTCTAATTCTTAATAAAAAATTCAAATATTTCAGAATTATTTAATGAGTTATAAATTATAGAATTATAAAAATGTGCATATGTGTGTGTATCTTCAAAAATTATCCATACCACTCATGCGCTATTTTGCATGTGTTTTAAATTTTCTTTACAGCAATTACGCAAGTTATTCAATGATAATCTTACTTTTCAATGATTATAGAATCATTGAGTTGAAATCGGGAACTCTATTCCAAATATGATCTTTTTTTATTGTGAATCGGATCAAATGGTTCACGACTCATTTGCAAATCACACATCTCTATGACTCTCATGAACTTAAATTTGGGTGTTTCTCACTCCTTTCTAATAACTCAAGACTTGTAATACAGTGCATAAACTTGTATGGACTATCTTGATGCGTTTGCACCCCCTTTTAGACTTGAAAGCTCTATTCTTTTAAGCAAAGATGAATTGTGGAAAAATGAGGTGGCTAGAAGCAACTCAGAACCTTTTGTCTGCCACCCCCACAAGCTGGCATGGTGACAGATTACCTCTGCCCACCTGAAAGTACTGGAACATAAAAGCAATAAAGCAGGACTTTTAGAGTTATAACTGCTGCTTATGTTCTTTTTGACCTAAAGTAATCATACTGATTGTGGACAAAAATCCTTGAAAGGATTATAACTTTTATTGATGAACAGCGTAGATGATGTGTAATTGTGATAAACTAAATGACATTTCACTTGGAAAAGTGCCTCAAAGTCACTTGCACATACCCTTGAGTGAGTCAAGTTCAATCCACTCTGTCTGAACCACAGTCTCGACCGCTCCATTATTATACTGTGGCTTTATTAATTAATCTCTTCTGCTGGCCCTGCAGAGGCCATTGTTTAATGTTCAGACTCAGATCTCTGTTAACCATGACTGTATTTCACCTTTAATTAGAAGGTGACGACCTTCAAACTGGTTCATTATCTGGCCTCTCTGGGCAGAGTTGGCAACTTTGTTCTTACATTGACAATACTGTTTAAAATCTGACTATAACAATGTCTTCTGCTTTCTCAACCACAGAAAAAAGACCCACTGGCACTCTCCAAAAAGCCAAACAATGCCTGTTTGTCTGGAGTTAACTTCACGAAGGATGCAGCTATCTCAACCATCTCCAACAGCACCACTGTCCAGTTGAAGAGCGCTGAGACCAAGCCTGCAATGGACCCCAAAAAGACTTACAACAGCGTCAGCAAAATTGACAAGATGTCTCGGATAGTGTTCCCGGTCCTCTTTGGGACTTTCAACTTGGTCTACTGGGCCACATATCTCAACAGGGAACCGGTGATTACTGGAGCCGATTAGCCCCTGCTAAGCCCCCTATGCCACTGCGACATTCCCTTCACAACCTCTTTTTCTTCTCCACTTCAATACTCGACGACAAGCTGACCTTGCAAAAAACGATGACGAGCACTTATTTACTGCACCTCTCACTTTGCTATTCTATAAGAGGAGTGCTCCTGGTGAATTTTCCTCCTGATATCATAAATTGCATGATAGATTCAAAGCTCTATGGGAATATAATTGCCATATCTGCCTTGACTTCGTACTTTATATTTCTCTGGTTTCCACAGGTTATTGCATTCATTTTACAATGAATTGAGAGCCACAGAAGCTCCCATTTCAGTCATGAAAATTTTCCAAGGGATGTGAACAAAAATGAATACATTTGGCATCAACATTATCACAGTATAAAAAAAAAAACATATATTGAAAAGAAGTACAGCAAGGCCAAATGCTATGCAAAAACCATTTTCTACTATGTTGAAATGGGTAATTGCTTATAATGAAACCCTTGCTTTGTATTAACGCATTTCAGCCTTCTCTTCTTTTTTATTAGCTTTAGCATCAATGGTGTAAGGCAGACAGATGCTATGCTAAGTTTTTAGCCATGCTAAAAATGTTGCCTTCAGAGGGATTACTTCATACGCGTGCTCGGGAATGTCCCACAATTACTGATTTCACTTTCGTTTGTCATTTGTTTCTAAGCTTTTTTGAAGTAGCTAAATAGAATTGTGCACCTTAGGCAGCTTTTCACAATTTAGACCAAGATATCCTGCAAGGTGAACAAGGTTGGGTTGCAGCGAATCATTTGTACATAGCTTGTGTATGCTTTGCTTTTAGCGTAGATGCGGCTTAACATTAGTGAGGAAGAGCTGAAAATGGTTCTGATTCACTAATCTAATGTGCAGCCAAAGCGACATGAATGATGGTGAAAACGCAGATTGTATCGTGAAATATTGTAGGCTTTGACAGAATGTGGCATTTCTTTACAGTTAATAGTTTTCACATTGGCTTTTCATGCTGTTTATGCGATAGCCATTTTCTTATTTTTTGTCTGTGTTGTAAATTGGCCAGTGGGTTTTCGAGGTTGGAACGAGTCAGCAACAGCCTTAAACGTTGACACCTAGTGATATTTTCTTTGCGCTACCATGTAGACTAATGTGAAAGGATCAGGTAAACAGGTCTGAAAACAAAATAAAAGAAACATTCACATTTAATAATTCAAACATTCAGATTCTAAAGACAGGAAAAGGGCGAGAATGAAGGCCAACTGTACAGTAGAAAGGTGGAACCTGCTATTGTCAGACATGTTCAAATTGGATCTTGTTGGAACTGAAATGTCACACCATAATGCCATCTCTTCAACCAAAACGCATGGCTACTTATTTGGGGAATGAAATGGAAGAGCGAACAATGACCTTGATAGTCCAAAAGTGCGACTCAGAAAGATTCGGTTTTTATCCTGTAATCGTTCTATTCTGAACTTGTTACGTGAAAGTGAGACGGCACAAAAACTAAGTGACCCTACAGATGATGTGTAGCTCATTAAGAGGCCAACTACAAGAGCCATTAAGCTCCTCTGTACACCACTCAGGCCTATAGGAGAATGAATCATTACAAGAGTTCAAGTGAGTCAGTAATGTGCTCTTTTACAACAATGGATGTACAGCTGTTCCTCAAAGCATACATGTCTGAAGCAATAAATTCTGCCTGATATGTTTCTTGACCAAGTTCTGATTACTTCTGTTTGAGTTGCTCAAAAGACATTGCTTAATTGCAGATCTTTAGACCTGGCCTAGAATGTTAGTAACATTTAAAACCAGTCACATTTACACACAGATGAGCTCATTTAAAGGAAAGAGTATCAACAAGAACTTTATTTACTGGTCCTTGTTGGACCTAATGCTGGACCATCTGCCACGAGATTGCAGGGGTTTATGTTTATTGGGTTCATGGCTGCTCTTCACAGGCTCATGGCAATAAGACATGCACAGGAAGCTTAGATATTGTCTTAATGAAACGGTTGCTGCAGAAGCCACTGTAAATGGAAGAAGGATTCTTCCTGGGATTACTTCTGGGATTATACAAAACATACACGCATGCAAGCAAACACACATGCACACATCAAGACCAGAGTTCCTGGAGCAGGGAGGATATGGAATGCTTCCTCTGGTCCTGTGCGCTGGCAACATCTGGCCCACATCTGTTTGTAAAGGATTTGGCTTCACTTAAATTGGTTTTCCTACCGGTGCTCCTATACATGGCGTCGAATTAAACTAGCACCAGTGTGACCAAGTAACTAATTTTGAATTATGTGTGCGATATTATACACTAGCATATTACTGGAGACTGGCAGCTGTGTTCAGTGTGTGACAGAATATACAAATTAAATGTTTGTGTATTCTATGCATTTAAATATTTGTCACCGTTCTTAATTATGCTTTATGAATGTTAAAGTATGTTGTTATTTTGTTTCGGTCACACTGACATTTATTTGACATGCCATGCTCTTGTTGTGGGTTTAGAGAAAGACTTTACTTCTTTTTTAATACATGTAAGGCAAGTGTAAACCTCTCTAATATACTAAACTCATCTCTCACACAATAATGCACAGCATGCCAATGGACCTTAAACCTTTAATCCCCTGAGTAGTGGAGTGAGCTTGGAATCGTACTCCTGGTGCCGGACTGGAATTCCGCTAGTGTAGTTGAGAAGCTTTCACTCAGATATGTCATTAGAGATGTATGTTTGTATCATGAAGAGATACCCAGTTCTTTTCATTGTGTTATTAAGAAAAAGCAAAAGATTGCATCTCTTAAAGCTGAAAATGTCAGTTTTAATTATCAAAAGGGTTTGTCACTATTTTAATTTAATCTGTTGTGCAAAGATGGTTTGCACATAGAAAGTGTCAGATAATGTATTGATCACCCACAATTTAAACATAGAGATGTCAGAATTGACAATGCTTTAAAAGCATCGTATTCAAAACTCTTGTACACTGTAATATTGTCATCATTATTATCATAATGTCTTTTTTTCCATCCATTTAACCCCCAATAATTTCTTCTGCTTGATTTTATTCATTTTACTTTTGAGGTTTGTGTGTGTGTGTGTGTGTGTGTGTGTGTGTGTGTGTGTGTGTGTGTGTGTATTAATTTTAAGTGACCCTACAGATGATGTGTAGCTCATTAAGAGGCCAACTACAAGAGCCATTAAGCTCCTCTGTACACCACTCAGGCCTATAGGAGAATGAATCATTACAAGAGTTCAAGTGAGTCAGTAATGTGCTCTTTTACAACAATGGATGTACAGCTGTTCCTCAAAGCATACATGTCTGAAGCAATAAATTCTGCCTGATATGTTTCTTGACCAAGTTCTGATTACTTCTGTTTGAGTTGCTCAAAAGACATTGCTTAATTGCAGATCTTTAGACCTGGCCTAGAATGTTAGTAACATTTAAAACCAGTCACATTTACACACAGATGAGCTCATTTAAAGGAAAGAGTATCAACAAGAACTTTATTTACTGGTCCTTGTTGGACCTAATGCTGGACCATCTGCCACGAGATTGCAGGGGTTTATGTTTATTGGGTTCATGGCTGCTCTTCACAGGCTCATGGCAATAAGACATGCACAGGAAGCTTAGATATTGTCTTAATGAAACGGTTGCTGCAGAAGCCACTGTAAATGGAAGAAGGATTCTTCCTGGGATTACTTCTGGGATTATACAAAACATACACGCATGCAAGCAAACACACATGCACACATCAAGACCAGAGTTCCTGGAGCAGGGAGGATATGGAATGCTTCCTCTGGTCCTGTGCGCTGGCAACATCTGGCCCACATCTGTTTGTAAAGGATTTGGCTTCACTTAAATTGGTTTTCCTACCGGTGCTCCTATACATGGCGTCGAATTAAACTAGCACCAGTGTGACCAAGTAACTAATTTTGAATTATGTGTGCGATATTATACACTAGCATATTACTGGAGACTGGCAGCTGTGTTCAGTGTGTGACAGAATATACAAATTAAATGTTTGTGTATTCTATGCATTTAAATATTTGTCACCGTTCTTAATTATGCTTTATGAATGTTAAAGTATGTTGTTATTTTGTTTCGGTCACACTGACATTTATTTGACATGCCATGCTCTTGTTGTGGGTTTAGAGAAAGACTTTACTTCTTTTTTAATACATGTAAGGCAAGTGTAAACCTCTCTAATATACTAAACTCATCTCTCACACAATAATGCACAGCATGCCAATGGACCTTAAACCTTTAATCCCCTGAGTAGTGGAGTGAGCTTGGAATCGTACTCCTGGTGCCGGACTGGAATTCCGCTAGTGTAGTTGAGAAGCTTTCACTCAGATATGTCATTAGAGATGTATGTTTGTATCATGAAGAGATACCCAGTTCTTTTCATTGTGTTATTAAGAAAAAGCAAAAGATTGCATCTCTTAAAGCTGAAAATGTCAGTTTTAATTATCAAAAGGGTTTGTCACTATTTTAATTTAATCTGTTGTGCAAAGATGGTTTGCACATAGAAAGTGTCAGATAATGTATTGATCACCCACAATTTAAACATAGAGATGTCAGAATTGACAATGCTTTAAAAGCATCGTATTCAAAACTCTTGTACACTGTAATATTGTCATCATTATTATCATAATGTCTTTTTTTCCATCCATTTAACCCCCAATAATTTCTTCTGCTTGATTTTATTCATTTTACTTTTGAGGTTTGTGTGTGTGTGTGTGTGTGTGTGTGTGTGTGTGTGTGTGTGTGTGTGTGTGTGTTTCAACTTGATTTGCTTAAATTCAATGTGCTCTTAAAAATGCGGGGATTTTTTCACTGGAAGGTTTGGCACCGCTTTGATTGTACATCAAAAATTATGTTTTTAATTTTAGTGAGTTAAAATGTTTGACAGTGCCGGCATTTTTCTTGTCACATCCTTTACCCTGTGGTTAACTGCACAGCACTCCTGTTTGTTCTTTCACTGTATGTGGTTTAGTATGTGCTGTGATTTACTCTCTATTGCACCTCCTATCTGCATTTCTGTAATCAGCCACAAGAGGATAGTCTATTCAAAGACAAATAAGTAAGCCATTTCAGGCGATTTTCTCTGATAAATGTAACCACTATGCTGCTTATGTGGTGTTATCAAACATTCGCTCCCGATAGAACCAAAACCGTGCGTTTGTGGTGGAACTCTCTGTTTGGTTGACCAATGGCAGACGGAGGAGTGCACGGGGAAACCTGTTTGAAACAATCGCCATTTTATAAATTACGTTGGGTAATGCTTGTCGCAAAACATGCATTTCGACTTTAATTGAACTCATGACCAATTTATTATTATATTTAAATTTGAGCCAAAATGACAAAGGACTATAAAATAATCAAAAGTAGATTTGCCTTTGGCGTGTTTATAGTACCACAGACATTGAACCTTCTAGAGCAGGGGTGTCAAGCTCAATTCCTGGAGGGCTGGAGCCCTGCAGAGTTTAGATTCAACCCTAATTAAACACACCTGATCCAACTAATCAAGTCCTTCAGGCTTATTTGAAAACTACATGTGTGTTGGAGCAGGATTGGAACAAAACTCTGCAGGGCTCCGGCCCTCCAGGAATTGAGTTTGCCACCCCTGTTCTAGAGAGAAGTTAGAGGAAAAATCTCACAACACGCAGAGCAAAGCTAGAGAGAAAGGGGCTTGTGTTTTTTTCCAAAGTGCGTAGGCGACTGGGAGCTGCCTGTGGTGATAAATGTCGGCGCTGTCTCTCAAATATTGTACTGCATATGTGCACCTGCTCACATTCAAACACAACAATGCGAGAACAACTTATGGATAGAAGGTTAAATTAGCAGCAGTGATTATGTATATCCGACTCCGATAGTTAAAAGAAATAATGACGAATGCCATTCCACTGTACGGCAAATGGCAAAATGTATTTGTTAGGCTACTATATTTATGCTAGAAACATCAGGATGTATATAGTCTGATTCATTGAATAATACCCTGTAATAATTAATTCGACTCCAAATTGGTTGATGACATTTTCTTCCCCCTCATCTTGCTCTATTATCGGGTTAATCGCACTGCGATCAATGCCCAGTATGCACAGTAATTACAGCAATTACGCACCGATTTCCAATTCGAACACAGTCCGCGCGGTAATCATTTACCTAGCTGATAGCGATAGTGTAAACAGCCGCTTCATAATGTCTCTCCTCGAAGCATTCTGACGTTTTTTATTTTCTGAAATACCAGATGTACCCGAAGAAGATCTCAAGTTCCGTCTGGGAAGGCAGACTTTGTGTTTTTTATGACGTAATTTGCAGAAACTAACGGATGCGTTAGAGGTTTGAAGGTGTCCACATTGGAAGTTTGCGCTCTGCCTGTGAACGTCAGTATGTGTATCCGGTGGTGCAATCGAAAGCAGCGCAACTTCAAGGAGCAGGAGGGGCTCTTCTATTATTTGATCCCGCTAATTGTCAATGTAAGTGAACTTTAAGCACCGGACACTAGCCGAGGAGATCTTACTGTTCCCGTTGGACTATAACATCGACTACTCGCCACTGTTTTAATTGAGCCTGGAAGAAAAGGCTGCAGCTGTTTCACTTTTTTTTCCTTCTTAGAAGAGTCTCCGTGCTGTGTGCCACACTCAATACGGAGTCAATCTCACCTAAAACATGTCCACCAAATTGTTCCTCTACTTCTTAC